GTTTTTGCCACTCAAAAGGCAATTCTATCTAACTCAATTCAATTTTAAGGAATACGGTCATGAAAAGCGGAAGGTTTGCACTTTCTAACAGTCTGTATAGCTTTCTTCTATATTCTTAGATGACAGAGAATTTACGTCGGGAGTTATCTTTCGAGAAATCTTGCCATCCTAAAAGCCTCTTCCTTCTTACATCCATTGGCAGGTTATTTTATTGAATTCCCTGGAATTTTATCTAAAATCAATATTCTCTCACCATGTAATAGGCAAATGGCACATCGTCCGTCAATCCGATCTCGTCCTCAGGTACAGGCCATGCTCCGTACTCCATTCAGTTGTACAAGTCTACTGAAAGAATGTCAAAAACACTGATGATTGACAGGACTGTATTGTAGTAAGCCTTGGAAAGAAAGTTCTGTATCTCCTATAGCTGAAGGACAGCTTCATTGGCCCAGACCTTTCCTGCACGGCCGTCGTTTTGCAACAGGTCGCACTACAAAGTGTTATTCCGACAACGATGTATTGAGAACGAGGGGAGCGGGCGGTTGGACAGAAGAATATGCGTCGAAGCACGTGCGCAATGTGACCGTGTTCCTGCAAAGAAGCCTTTCATTCTTGTACAGGGTGGTCGCAAATTATGAGACCTAAGACATTGTTATCTTGAAAACCATAAGTAAGCTCGATGGAAACAAACCAACTTCTGGAAGTATTTGTAAACTCTTAGCCTCAATTAATTCCAGTAATAGAATTGGGATCTGTAAACACGCCTCGTTAGCACGAAGCTTCGGATGAGTGGGATCGGCCGCGTGCTGTGCCGCAACTAGTCGTGTCCAAATGGTTTCCAGTCGCATTCTGCTCTGTGCCTTCTTCAGGGAATCAAACTTTTGGCTGCATTTAATGTTGCGCCTTTGGCATCAGAGTGGTGAAAACAGAAACATCTACAGCTATTAAGTGGATGTTCCATTTGTAACAATTCTTCGAAAAACCGAACTCGAAAAATCGCGTTTTGGAAGATATTTGCTTTGAGTTGTTGGGTGCGCGGTCTGTATAAGAAGTTCTAAAGTAGACTACTCGTGTGGCTTATATCCAGTGTCTTCTGCGTTTCGCTGGGTTTTCACATCAATTTCTTTCCATTTTGGGTGTACCAAAAGTTGACAAGGGAAACCTAGTTTTCTGATCTGAATTAATTGTGCTGTCCGGTAACTGTAACTTTCGAGTCCCCGAACTTTCAATCTGTGGTGATTCGCAATTCTTGAAGAGTTGGACCTGTTGCTCATAGGCGCTCCTCTGATACGTTGGACTGCCGCTTAGATGTAACGTGCCCAGAGCCCTTAGTGAGTTCAATTTGAGGACTGACTCAAAGATGAATACGTTATTTCACTAGTTTGGAGAACTTCATGAAGTTTGGCTTCATTGGGACGAAGAAGTTGACCCTTTCACATAGTGCACAGAAAACGAGATGAAATGGAGCGAGGACGAAAAAAGTGATATGGCTGCGCGGCGCACGCGGTCCATCATAATTTTGGGCACTGTTAAGTATGTGTCGGAATACTTCCTGAAGTAGATGGAAGGGCGAGGCTAACTGTAAAATATTGTAAAAGCATGTTTTACCACATATCTTGTTTTCTGCTGTCGCTACGCCCTCTCCTCCTATCTGCGCACTATGCCACTGCATTACAACCCCCACGAGTACGACGCTTCCTGACCGACCCTCACGAATGCATACAAACCCTGGTCGAAGATTTCCATGACGCATAGTCACCGGGTCTGAAGCACGGGTTGAAGAAAATCGTGTCGAGTACGGGGTCGCAGAAGTACGACGCTCCCCGCGGAATGCGAGTCCTGGCACACCCCTTAAACAGAGCAAATTATTCAATTAATAAATCAAAAAAAATCCTGCAAAATAAATCAAAAAATAATCCTGCAATATAATGTTATAGACGCATCATCTTGTCATCTATGCACTGTATTTCAGCGCTGCACACTTTTGTTACTGAAATATCGACTCGAGGAAAGAGTCACCAACTTTGTGTGACCTCAAAGTCAGGTTCGTTCAGAAATGCACAGAACTCCTGAAAGCACAGGGTTGCGATTTAATCTCAATTCCTCGTTGAGTATACTATCGGAACAGCCGAGTGTATCAATGAACGGCCGGTTCAACGGCAGCTGCGGCGCGATTGTCACTGGGTCAGATTTGCTGAAATCCCGAAAAAAAAACGTCGAAATCTACACTCGATAACAAAGTTGCATTCCTCCATTTCATAACCTTTGAAGCAGTTTGAGGTAGGATTAGATAGAGCTGGATTTTGTGTTCCCAAGAAGTATTGAAATTGCTCTGGAAGCCTTCCATGCAGAAAGATAGGATCTCTCAAATTTCGTCGAGTAAATGTCGAGGACGCTGAAAATTGCATGCTAGTTTTTGCCACTTTAAAGGCAATATCTCCCTTATATCGTAATATCCTGAGAAATGGAAGATAGTTTTGGGAAGCGGAAGCTTTGCGCTTTCTGATGGTTTTCTCTGCTTCCTTCTACATTTCCTAGTTAAGAAGATATCTGCGTCGAGTATGTATCGAGGATGGATCCGGCAAACTGAAAATCTGCTCCCTTCTTCACCATTGCATTTCAAGCGTTGTTGGCAACGCTTGAAATAGTGAAATAAAATGAAATGAAATAGTGAAATAGTTAAATGAAATAGTGAAATAGTTAAAATAGTGAAATGAAATAGTTCCTCTAATGTTGTGGGTGGCTGTGCATGGGAAAGCATCACCGAGAATCCGCAACTAAGCAAAAAGTTGCATGTTCTGCGTGCTCTAGCACGTCTGGGTGGTTTTCCTGCAGCACAGATATCACTCTGAGAAAACTTGAGTGTATTGCGTAATATCCCTACTATATATGAAGCGCTACGTCTGTCTGTGTGTCTGTGTGTCCGTGTGTGTCGCGAGATTCATGGCACACGTCGCACCAGTCATTAGGAATTGATTCTGGATTGTGATGTAGGGGGTGGGATGGGAACGTATTTGATGGGTAACTTGGTAACTGTATGCCTAAGAACGTAGGCATGGGGCACAGAGAGTGATAACGGCTGATAAGGACTGACACTAATTGTATGCCTAAGAACGTAGGCATACAGTCAGTGTCAATCTTTATCATATAAAAACACTTGAATCCGGATTCTAGATAACGCATTTCATTTCAATATCATGTCATTTGCGTGTCATTGTCAAATCAGACACATTCACCGCTACACTCCCTAGAGTTTCTAAGGGGAGTGAGATATTCGAGCAATACGGTAATGTGTACGAGCACTTCCTTGTGAACATCATGAACATCAAATATTGCTCGACCGCTAAATCACCGTGACATTCGATGCATGGTGGTTTGTAACAGACTTTAATGCGCACTTCACTGCGTTTTCAAAACAGTGAGCCTCACCTGAAATGAGCCGCAAATGCTACGGTCAGCCAACGCATTTACGATACAACCTTGTTCAGAGTGGGACCTAACGGCTGTCCACTTCAAACCTTCTGTAGGGAGGGTCATATGGCGCGAACCCATTGGCATTGTAGAGCGCAAAGGGCCGCAATTGCCCCATCCTGTTGCGGCGGGACAACTCGTCCGTGTTACTCGACTGCTAGACTTAAGTGGAGGATTGATTGCTACTTTTTGTCTCAAAAATCTCGCTGAGGCCCAAAGTTCTAGAAAAAAAGCGGGTAGCATTGCCGGCCTGAATGCAAGGCAAGAGGACGGAACGTAATGTGTCGGCGCGAACGAATTGTCTGGCTATGCAGGACGTAAGTAGTTATGGCCTGTTGCGCTCTAATGCCAATGGGGTCGCGCCACTAGACGCGCACCCCTTTTGTATCATGTGCGCGGACTAGGCTGTATTCCTCACTACATTATATAAACGCTATGTCTGTCGGTTATGTGTGTGTGAGTGAGTGTGTGTGTGTCTACGAAATTCATAGCACGACGTCCGCTAAGCAGTCGTTAGGAGCTGATTTTTTGATATGATATAGGGGGTGGGATGGAAACATATTCGGTAGGGGTCACAAAGTGACAGCGATGTGAGAGCAGTGATAAGAGCAGATAAGAGGCGCTGAAGTGCAAATTTCACGAAATTCATAGCGCGCTTCGAAACAGTCGTCAGGAGCCGATTTTGGGATATGATATAGGTGGTGGGACAGAAACATATTTGATGGGGGTCACAAAGTGATAACGACTGATGAGGAGTGATAGTAACGATATGCGTACGAACGTAGAGATCACTTGAAACCAGACTGTAGATAATGCATATTACCTCAATGTCATTTTATTAGCGTTGTAATTGTAAACTCAAACACCTTTCGACCGCTACCCCAGAGTTCTTGAGGATGAAGGGGATGCTCGAACAAATACGATAATGAATACCGGGCACTCCGTTTTGAGATCACCAAAACTTATTCGACCGCTAAATTACCTAGATACTCGATGCATGGTGGTTGTTTGCTTACATCACCTTAGCTGTGCACTTCACTGCGCTTATCAAACAGTGAGATACAACCAAGATGGTATCTTCAGCAACGGACACTAAGTAATGCATTTAACTATAACTATAGTTCAGCGCTGAACTTTAAAGCTCCACCGATTGTCAGTACTATTAAAGGCTTCTGTATCATGCGCGCGTTAGCGGGCGGAGCTAAACTGGCAATTTATAGAGCATGCTGCATCCGAGTAAGCACGAAATTTCAAAAGCAGGAGGTGTGACCACTCAATATAGCATTGTGCTACACACCCTTCCTTCCTGGTTGTCTAGAGCATGCTAGCACATATCTTAGTTGTGAATAAAGTGCGTGCCGTCGCACAGAAGAACGAGTATCCAAGCGGTAAGAGTGGAAGCACTTGAGAAACAGCCGATTATTTCAGAATGTCACTAGTGGAGTAATTCTTACTCAAGCTAACAAAAACAAAATTGCTAGGGACTGGTTTGACAAATCAAGGGAGGACCTTATGAAGTGTGCATTCAGATGGGTCTGGAGTACAAGTGGATGACACTAGCTGATGGGAGAGCTGATGAAGCAAAAAGTGGGAGCCAGTGCATGTTGATGTTGGTACCGCTGCACCGGCGGTATGTGTAGACGATGATGGCGTTGAGGTGCTTGAATGCATGAATTTGACAAATGAGACAGCTTCTATTGGATTTCAAGGGAAGCAAAAGGTACCGCTTTCTCTCAGTTTCTTCCTGCATAATTTCATTTGTTCGTTCATACCATATCATCCAAAAAGAAGGTTTGCGTCTCTCGCGCGAACATACACACTCGCATGCTCGAGCCGTCTGCGTCTCCGCACATACAGCGTGCGTTGAGGATCTCTCAACGTGCCGTTGCGAACTGCGCAACGCAGGGTTGACCTGGTCAGAAGCCTGTGTGTCTATGCCCTCCATTTGGGTGTGATTAGGGAAGTGAGGGGAACCTTCTGCTAGCAGGACGGGAGAACGTTTAACTTGGCGAAACGTGTTAATGGTATGTTGTGATCGTAATCACTCTCAAGTACGTAAGGCACTTATGGTTAGCAGAGTAGAGGTGCGGAAGCAACTGCTCCAAGTGGTGGCAGGGTCGCGTATGGAGGAGATCATAAACGGACGTAAATAGCAAACGCAAAATGAGGATCAACTACTCACTGTTGGGCAAAGAACTGATAAGCAGATAGTTTAGATGATAATTTCACTGAGACATAAAAGTTACTGAAATGATATGATTTTTTTCGCCGTCGCACGCAAGGGTGGCGATACACTCAAAACCTCGTAAAACGTGTAATTTTTGTTGGGAACAGGATTGAATTTTCGGCGGGGAAGACCGACTCCATGAACAGTATTTCTCACTCCCCTGAAAGTTCCCGCCCCTTGAAGGGGTAATACGAGATGATGCCCCTTATAGAACTCGATTTTTTCCTGGCATTGTTTTCTACTCTGGCATAGCTTGTGAATTTTTGCTAATCATTCTAAAAATTTTAGATGTTCACTGGAGCGGCTCCGATGAAATTCCATGTGCTTCATCACAGGAAGCTGCATTGAGATATGGTGTCGCGACTCTCGTCACGACCTTTTCAACGTGCAAGGTATGCGCCGATACATTCCCGTGCTCCAGCCACGTTCCCACGCTATGGAGGACGAAATACTACGCCTTCCCACGGACGCAGACACTTTCTCATGGTTTGAATGCGTGCAACATCCAGAAGTGCGGGAAGTGCTCTGCGTCTCTGCCTTGGCCCGCGCTCGTCTGTCAGCAGTCGACGTACCCGTCGTCTCGCCGAGCGGTTGTGTCCGTGGAGTCCTCAGCAATGGTTGGAGCCGCCGTCAACACCATCTTCGACAGCCAATGGATCGGATGCATACCTCTCCGCCGCTTATCCTTCCGATCGTGCCCGTAGGTTCTCCTATCTCTCTTATCCTTCTCTATAATGTAGTCTCACAATCTATTGTAATACTAGCATAAACTACCTTAATACTTAGTGTTCTGTTATGTAGCAATATCTACACATCTTTAGCGGCACGGTCGTAAAGTCG